GTGTGTGTGTGTGTGTGTGTGTGTGTGTGTGTTAGAGCCAGATAATAACTTATTTTTTACACTGCTCCAAAGCAGAGATGATGATCAAACCCAGATTATTCCAAGTCACATTTGAGTATACTGACAACTGATGGCTGGCTACCTGGATTGCAAGCTTGAATCTATATTAGAGTTCTTCAACAAATTTGTTCCAAAACCCAAAAAGATCCAGAAATGTTCTACCTGAACACATCCAGGACCTATTAATCCATTATTTGAAACCTGGGACCCAGTCCTGTGCAGAACTGAGAAACGCTGGCCCTGAAACCAGTCAGGTGACACTGGCCTGATCTGATTGCTTTAACAAGCTAACCTTGATTCACAATGTGTCAAAACCAAACTTTGTGTCTTACCTAATTTAACGATAGCAGCCTTCTCCCCTGTGCCTGTCCATGATGCATTTAATCCATCTTCTAGGAAAGTTCTTAAAATACATGATGGATCTGAACCTTCACAAGTCCTGGCTCAGGTCTCAGGTTATAGTTTGGGTAACCCTGTAAAGACCTCTAATCCAGTTTTTGTTGTTCGTTCCTCTCAGCTGGAGGAGAGGAGCTGGAGAATCCTCTGAAGGCCACTCTGGATGGGCCACTAGATGCTCTGGAGCATCTCAGGATTGGTAACATTTTTACCTTCAGGGTGACCGTCCTGCAGGCGTCTAGCATCTCTGCAGAATATGCTGACATCTTCTGCCAGTTTAAGTAAGCACTCATCAAAATGATTCTTAATATTTATCACAGTTACACTTTTATATGTAAATTGTTACATTTCAATAATGTGATTTCAGTTTCATCCACCGCCATGATGAGGCCTTCTCTACTGAACCCCTAAAAAACACTGGCCGCGGCCCTCCTCTAGGCTTCTACCATGTGCAGAATGTAAGGCACAACCACTCAGTTCCTGCATAATGACGTTTTGTTGCTGGTTTTAATAGGTCAGGCACTTAAACATCACTTGTGTTGATTTGTAGATTGCTGTTGAAGTTACTAAATCATTTGTTGACTACATCAAAACTCAGCCAATTGTGTTTGAGGTGTTTGGACACTACCAGAAACAGCCTTTCCTTCCTCTCTGTAAAGACGTCATCAGGTACTATGACAATGCATTCTACACAAAGACATAATCTATATTGTTGTGTTTTCACAATGACAAGCAATTGTGTGTTGTTACTTCCACAACCAGTCCATTACGTCCCTGCAGAAGACAGTTTCCACGAGTGATGCCTCTGTCCAAACCAGGTAAAGAGTCCCTCTTCTTAAATTGCACAATTAATGTTTTATATTGCATCGTCTTTTTATTGGTCTGCCTGTAAATTAGTCATCTTAGCTTCATGTTGTTGGGTGTGAGCAGTGGACTCTGACGCCTCGCCAGACCGGGAGAAATCGCTGGATCTCATCCGCTACCTGGTCCCAGATGTGCTCAATGGTGCGCTGGTGGACTCGCTGTCAGGCCATGCTCTGTCTGCCGCTGGCTTGGCAGCTTCCTTCATACTGGAAGCAAATGAGCGAGCTCAGTTGCCAGCACCACCCATCTCGATCTGTTCAGTTATTAAAGCTCAGAAGCCGGGTTGGTTATTGATGTCAAATCCAAGAGAATCCTGCCTCTGAAAACCTTTTTTATATCAAGTGTTTGTCATAGTGAAAACAAAAGCCAAGGGTCTGTCATGTTACAATGCAGTTCATTGATAAATTAGTATTTCAAAGAACACATCATGTTACTTTTATGTAGAGATTCAAGCTGATGTGACAACAAGCATCAGTTCTACTTAGGTATTGCTCAAATATAACTCTGAAACCTTTCAGACCCTCTGGTTCTCAGGCAGACAAAGACCCCATTCAGACCTGGTATCAACATCCTTCCTAAATTATCTGATCACACGTGGCCAGCACTAAGTTCAGGTCTGAGCACACCTACACACGTCCTGAATGTGCCCTGAGATCCGATCACAAAAAAAAACACATGGTGGTCTGGGACGCATGTGGCCACATAGTGTGAACGCAAATCAGTCAGTACGTCATACAGACATGTATGAAGGATCATCTTCTGACCAACTGAAGTTTAAACATATTTTTATGCTTCTCATTGACCATACATTGATTTGTCTGTAGCCACCGACACAATATCAACACTGATTACCACATATTGATTCATACTATTCTGAAATTGGTAAAATCTTTCTTCATTGCTGTGCGTATTCATGTATTCAGCCCCTTCTGTCTCAGCTCGCTCTCTGTCTCTCTTTCCTGCTCATGCTGACAAACACACACATTGTCATCTGAAACTCACATTAGGCAAAAACATCTTTTGGGAACAGAAATTACGTATGTGATTATTTGCATATAGAGCGGGGAAGTAAAATCTGATCACATGGTCACAGGAGACACATTCAGGACATGTTTTAATACCAGGTATGAGCATGTGTATCTTACATTTACCACTTGTCAGATCAGATCACATCTCTCAGTATGGATGTTAGACCAGTTCTGAACAAGGCCCAATTGCCATAAAAACCAGCATATTCACAATACTGGTCATACAATGCATGATATAAAAAAGGGATATTTCTTGTGGCAGCATTCGGTTGGATTGACTCTCTAGTGTACTGAGTGTTGACTGTTGACCTGCGTGGTGGATTCCCCCTGCAGTTCCTTCTTTGAGTTCCTCTTGAACTGAGTCACAGTGGCTTCAATCAATAATACTCTCAGATGGGAAATATATATTTTGTATTGTACATTATAGTGTACATTTATATATTACACATAAAAGACAAGAATTTTTTAAATAATAAACATAATAGATTATTAATTAAGGAAATGAAAAAACGTGCTGAATGCTATAATACATTAAGGCCATGCTGTATACATCTGTGCAGTGGGACATGGTTGTGCAATAATATATTTGCAGAAGCATACAAACACATTACATAACATATCAAATATTATATCTTAATACTCTTTAAGATTCTATTCCTGTTTGAGCTTGGGCCCAACATCTGGGTTGCATGTTAACTTTTTTTACTCTCTTCAATCTGCTATTGTTGAACCATCTTAAATTTGACAAACGCAGTGAGTTTAGTCAGAACAAGCTTTATCATCTCTACAAAACAACAATGAGAAAAAATGAGAAAGAGGAGAATGCTGTTGAAAGAGTTTGTACATATGCCGTGGACAGAATGGTTCATGTGTATTTGTGTATTTAAAAGATTAGGGAAAACTGAGAACCCACAGAGCCAGAGCTTGTGAAGCACAAACTGCATTAGAAAAAAAGGATTTTGTGGTATTCTTCTCCTTTAAGAGAAAACTGCAGAGTTGATGATAAATCTGCTGAAGGAGAGGGTGTCCTTCTCCAGGACTGAGTGGTTCCTGTCCTTCCCTACATCACTGATTTCCATTTTTTCTTCCCTTTCTCTTCCCTGTGTTGGGTTAGAGCCATTCTCTGCTCCCTATTCACTTCCTTTATAACCTCCTATAATCTCCTTTTTCATCATAGTACCTGCAACCAAACTGACAACCATGACCCGCCCACAGGCAGGACCCTGCCACTGTAAATATGATCTCATGGTTTTCTTTGAGATCTGTGAGCTGGAAGCCAATGGAGAGTGAGTGGCCTACATGTCTACTGTCATTCATTTTGCAGAGCTTTCCATGAAATAGATACATATAAAAATGACTGGAATCAGCTTCGAGATAAATCTATCTTTCCTCTATGTCCTTCCAGCTACATCCCTGCAGTTGTGGACCACAGAGGAGGAATGCCCTGCCATGGCACATTCCTACTGCACCAGGTACGTCAGCCACACTTTGAGCAAACATAATATTTAGAATATTCTAAATACACTGGATTTAAGCACTTTTTTGTTTTTTCTTTGCTGTCTGTCTTTTCTTCACTTGTGTAGGGCCTCCAGAGGAGAATCACTGTTACTATTGTACATGAATCAGGAGGTGACATGGATTGGAAAGACGTCCGTGAGCTCGTTGTGGGTGAGTTTGGATTCCAGGCTTTCTTACCTTGAATACCAAACATGTACACATGTGTATGAGTTGTTGTTGTTACTGATGCATTCGTGCTTTTACCAGGACGTCTCCGCAGCACCCCTGAAGCTGATGAGACCATCATTGACCCTAATATTCTCTCCCTCAACATCTTGTCTACGGGGTATGTCAGACCCATGCATGAGGACAGGTACGTACTAGTGGAGACTTTTAATGGAAACTTTGCAGCTGCAAGATCTTTACAAAATAAGCTCAACTCTGCATGATTGTATGTTTTATATGTCTCACTACCTTTGTGAATTCAAAATGAGGAATTTCTGGTTGCCACAGATAAATGTATTCGACAGTTGTGGCAGCTGCAACAGCCTGATTTGAGGACCTTGCTTCATTAATGCTGCGGCAGCTCATGCTCTGGAAAAACATTGGCAAATGCATGGCAAAGTGAATCAGCTGCACCCGGCTGTCAGAAAGAAAGCATGGCAGAAGTCGCACAACTCGAATGTTATAGCAAATCCCAGCAAGTTCCCATGTGCTGTTGTTTTAATACTGTTTCTGCATGAATATAGATTCCTGTTTCCAACTGCAGGGGGTCACACTAGGGACCATTAACAAAATCAGTTTTCCTCTGAATTTATACGTAACCATTTCTTAAAACTGGATTTGTTATGAATTAACTTGTCTATGCTGGCTGTGCGACCCTCCTTGATGTTAATCTGGGCTTTGGTTGTGTAATTGTCATCATTACGTTTACATGTTGCATCTCACCTTGTCGGTCACCTCACATCCAACCACTCTCATCTCTCAACTATGTTAAATCTGCTCACCCTTAAACTGAGAGCCTTTCATTTTTAACAAACACCCTGTTACATCTGCACTATATCTCACTTCTGTATAAACAGATCAGGTCGGTCAATTATAACTGTAATACACCCTAACGTGAACTGTAAAGTGCATGTCTTTACCACATTATTCAGCAGCATTGGTCACTAAAAGTATTGTATACTCACTTACACACCCTAAACTACCTTTATTTGGACTCAGTATAATGTCATGCATTGGACATTTAACACTTCATCTTCACTTAATTCAATCCATTGTTTAACTTTTAACATTTAAAAAGCAATGGCTGTATTAATAAACAACATTTCTGTAAATATATACAATGTCTGATTTGAAACAATTAAAATGCTGCTTCTAGGTGTGTTGAGAGACAACAGTGTTGATGCTAATATCAATCTGATATTTAGTTGCCCTTGACTGTCTTTTCTGCAGTCAGCCTGTAGAGGGCAGTATGTTTCTATAAATGATTAAGGCCTCACAATGTGATATAGTGTTAGTATGGAAGAAATATAGTTTATATTGGAACAAAGACTATTATTGATTATCATTTTTTAACCCTCTGTTTAAGCACATCGCTTCATCACCAACCAACTCTGCCTTACAGCTCCAATAATGATCACTCACCCAGACCTGGTTTTACTGACTGTGAGTCTAAATAAGGCAAATGCTCCTAGCGTCTGTGACCAGTGGCCCTGCTTAAACAGCCTCTCTTTAACTGGGGGGGTGATTCAACTCCCCTGTGGTTCCCAATACAACTTAGTTCTTAGGCCTCAAAAGCCATTAAGTATATCAAAGGGCTCAGCACCAGGCTGCAGTCTCGTGTGGTCCCTGCTCGGTCTTCAACATACTAACATCAAGGTGTAAATGGATGCTAACATTTTTCTCCCTCCACTAACAGAATGTTGTTTTTTTGCTTTTGCAGACAGTTTCTTGATTCGGACATGCCTAGGTATATTATTTTGCCTCTCTTCTCGTGCGTTACACCAACACCTTCCATCTTTCTTATTTCCTCTACACACCCTGTCATTCTAAATTAGCCTCCAGTGATCCTTCTCTCCTACTCTGCCATCGCTGTCAGCAATTCATCTGTGCCTCATTGTTTCCTCCCTCTCATGTGAAGTGAGGGAAACTTCCCTGCATGTCTCTGGTTCTGTTGCTGCGCTGGGTTATGTGTTTGAGCTGTTATCAGTCTGATGGACAGGGTCTGCATGGCTCGCTGTGCTTCATGTGGACTGTCCTTGGCTGTGTCTCTGCTGGAGGTGTCGTGGGGCCAGTATCACACTTTGTTTCCACCTTAGCAGTTGCTGCAGGAACTTTATTCGGCTCATTTCAGAGAGTGAGCTACAATATTTGGTCTCTCTTGCATTAGGACAGAAACACGTATTATAATTTATTCAATTTAAAAGGCAGCAAAGTCTGAACATCAACATGACTCTGTATAGACACTGCACTTTCACACAAGCACAACACAGCAGGAGATTCTCCGCTCAGACTCATTCACAACAAGACAGGAATCTCCGGTGCATTCAGGTGCAGCAACCTGAGCGTAGATCACACGTTTTTCGTCAGCGCTTATTACCAAAACCTCTCTTGACATCTTTGTGCCTTCTACATGTATGGCTCCGCTTTTTTTTGGGCCTTTTGCATGTTAGAAACATTATCAACATGCTCACTCTCTTGTGTGAGTCCTCCGCAGGATCTCCTGCTTTGTTCTGACATCAGCTCATTCAGACACAGAGTTTTGACTCCAGGGGTGACAGGAAAAAGTCCTTAGTTTCTCATTCGGATATCTGTGTCCTGACATGCAACCCCTCCTGAGAATTTCCAAAGATTCTCTGGATTTCAGTGCAGGTCTGAAAGAAGCTTGTGTGAGTGGTGGAACTTTAAGGTTTTTTTTGTATAAGCCTTACTTGCCAGCAGAGGGTGGTAGGGATCCATTAATACAACAGTTCATTTGAATCAACAAAAGCAAGGAGACGCATCCTGCACTTTCAGGAAAAAACAGTCTAAAACTGTTTATTCTTTTCATATTGTTGAACCTTGCAGTGAAGCATTATTGTGAATCCATGGATATGATTTTCTTAGTTACCTCTAATACCGAGGGGCAAAGAGTGCTTCCCATCACAGCCAGAGAACTAACAGGAACACTAGTCACACGCTATTACTTAAGTGCTGTAATATGGATCACATCATTTACATTACCCACTCTGGCACAATATTCAAAAGCAATCCAGTGAGCCATTACCTCACCAGTAGCACTTTGCCCAAAATTACTGCAATGTTATGAATATTTTTAAATCCTGCTCGTACCTCGGTGAGACTGGGCCAAAGAGCAGAAACAAACGGTTCCTCACATGTTCCGCCAGAAGCATGACTTCAATCCTGGCTCCTGCATTTTTAAGGAGGTAGTAAAATGTAGAGGAGCACATGTTGGGGTAGTGTGAAGAGGAAATTGCTCACTTGTAGTGTAAGCGAACAGGTTTCTACTACTGGGAAAACAGTGTGTGTGTGTGTGTGTGTGTGT